GCTGGCTTTAAACTTGTGATCCTTCTATCTATCTCAACCTCCTGAGCCACTGGGATTACAGGTGTGCACCACTATGTTTGGCTCTCATTCCCATCTTATAGGTGAGGAAATGGGATAAGACTGTTTATTTTATTTTGTTTTTGCATTGCTGGGAATGAACCTAGGGCCTTGCACATGCTAAGCAAGTACTCTATCACTGAGCTACATCCCCAGCCCTAGAGTATAAACTTACTACATCTAATGATTTGCTCAGGGTGACACACTTTGAACAAATTAGGATTTAAAATCAACCAGGCTGGCTCCAGAGCCTGTGGTTTTTTGGGGGCAAATGAAAAATTGCCAAGGGAGAAATTTCGTTATGTGGAACACATAGGGTAGTATCAGGAAAGGCTGAAAAAACAGGAGAGAGGGTGAGATTCACTCATTCATTCAACAGTGTTTATTTGTTTATTTTCACTATTGGGAACTGAACCCAGGGTCACTTTACCACTGAACTACTTCCCCAGCCCTTTTTATTTTCATTTTTAAAATCAATCAGTCAATCACTCTATCTATCTATTTATTTTTGATGGTGCTGGGAATTGAGCTCAGGGCTTGCACTCACTAAGTAAGTACTGTACCACTAAGCCACATCGGCAACTCCCTTTTTTTTGACACAGGGTCCCACTAAATTGAGTAGGGACCTGCTAAATTAAGGGGACTGGCCTTGAATGGCAAGCACTCTATCAACTGAGCTATATCCCCAGGCCAAGGCCTTGAATTTGTGAACCTCCTGCCTCAATTTCCCAAGCTGCTAGGAATACAGAGGCAGGACATCATGCCAGGCTCAACAGTGGTTATTGAGTGTCTAATATATGTTAGGGACTGTACTAATCACTGGCAACCAATGCCAAACAGGGTATGCAGAGACCAGCCCTCACAGAGCTTAGTCTATAAGAGCATCATGAGTCAGAGAAATTTAACTCTCAGGGGGGAACACTTATTCCCGACCCTGGAGCAG